ACAGAGTGAGGAGTCAGGTCTGTGTAGATGGAATGGCATAAGCAGATTTTCAAGACTGATTACAAAGTGAAATGTCACTGAACAGCATACTATAGTATTGATAAAAAACTAAAACCAAAGGCAGTTTCTCTCTGTAGCTGGATAGGAAGACAGATGACACACAGATGATAGATAATAGGTAGATGATAGATAATAGGTAGATGGATGATAGATAGATAGATATAATAGGTGATAATCATAGATAGATAAGTGATAGTAGATAAATGATAAATAATAGATGATAGATAGACAGATAGATGATAGGTAATGTCTGGATAAATAGGTTGACAGATAAATAGATAATAGATGATATATAGGTAATAGACATTAGTGGGAAGATAGAGAAGAGAGAGAGATTGAATTTTGGAGGGGGATGTTTAAATAGGGTATAAGGAAAACGAATACCCAGACAATACATTAACATGAGGAATTATGTCAAGAAAAATTCACATTACACAAATTCTTTCTAATTGTTTGAAATTTTTTCATTAAAAAGATAGAGATATGAATATGAGAATGTATAGTAAAAGATGTAAAATAACAATATATGCCCTCTGCAGACACAAATGGGCTGGGAAGAGGGATAGGGAAGGGAGGGCCATCACTTTCTTGCCAGAGGCTTCTGTACTGTTTGATTTTCTTTAAAAATTAGACCACATAGTCTTGTGTTGCTTGTGCAGTTTTTAAAAATGATATAACATCTAATTTAACAATTAAAAAGCAATCTTAATAATGACCTGGGAATTAAACACATGGAACCGTAAATACTTTTAATATACAAAAAATACTGAGGAACAGCTTTCTTTCCTTTGATTCTATTCCATTGACTGCATCTGTTTACAAAGTGAGAGGGATGCTTTCATTCTTTATCCCCAAACCAATCAGGGATCAGCTTTGCAAACTCATCAGGAAAAAATGGAAGAAAAGGGAGTCCTTTGAAATCAAGACTCTTCTACCGCTTCAGTCACATTAAAAATAAACAGCTAGGAGAGGTTTTTTCTTTTTTTGACTTGGGGAATGTGGGTGGAGGGGGGTTGTCCAAATGGTGTGCAAGGAACTAACATATAAACACGAGGGATTACAGCTAAAATTTAAGGTACCCAGATTCTTTCTAATTGTTTTCTGTTTATAATTTTTCATAATGAAAAGTTGGGTACATTAATTAAGTATACCTAGTCTCTACACATGAAAAAAATCTAGTAGAAGTATGGTTTACAGTGTTACAAATGAAGCACATTACTTGTGATCCATGATTATTTACTCTACAAAAATTACTTAGTGCTAAATTACTAAAACTTGTTATCATTTCCCTTTTAAAATCACACTGGATTATTTTATCATTTCTACTGGTTTTTGTTCATGTTAACAGCTCATTTCCAAACGCATGTTAATTCAGTAGAAGTTCATGAAGAACTTAAATGCTATAATGCTAACAAACCCCTGTATCAGGGGAACCAGCCCCCAATATTTCAGCGTAGGTTCTTTCTATTTTCCATAAGTGTCAGCTGGCTGAGAAATAAAGAGAAAGAGTACAAAGAGAGGAATGTTACAGCAGGGCCTCCAGGGTGACATCACATATTGGTAGGACCACGATGCCCACCTGGGCCTTAAAGCCAGCAAGTTTTTATTAAGGGTTTCAAAAGGGGAGGGGGTGCAAGAACAGGGAGTAGGTCACAAGATCACATGCTTCAAAGGGCAAAAAGGAGAACAAAGATCACAAGGCAAAGGGCAAAAACAAAGATCGCAAGGCAAAGGGCAAAAGCAGAATTACTGATAAGGGTCTATGTTCAGCGGTGCACGTATTGTCTTGATAAACATCTTAAACAACAGAAAACAGGGTTCGAGAGCAGAGAACCGGTCTGACCTCAAATTTACCAGGACAGGGTTTCCCAATCCTAGTAAGCCTGAGGGTGCTGCAGGAGACCAGGGCGTATTTCAGTCCTTATCTCAACCACATAAGACAGACTCTCCCAGAGCAACTGTTTATAGACCTCCCCCCAGGAATGCATTCCTTTCCCAGGGTCTTAATTATTAATATCCCTTGCTAGGAAAAGAATTTAGTGATATCTTCCCTACTTGCACATCCGTTTATAGACTGTCTGCAAGAAGAAAAATATGGCTCTGTTCTGCCCGATCTTGCAGGCAGTAAGACTTTATGGTTGTCTTCCCTTGTTCCCTGAAAATCACTGTTACTCTGTTCTTTTTCAAGGTGCACTGATTTCATATTGTTCAAACACATATGTTTTACAATCAATTTGTACAGTTAACACAATAGTGGTTCTGAGGTGACACACATCCTCAGTTTACGAAGATAACAGGATTAAGAGATTAAAGTAAGACAGGTGTAAGAAATTATAAAAGTATTAATTTGGGGAACTGATAAATATCCATATTAAAATGAAATCTTCACAATTTATGTTCAGAGATTGAAGTAAAGATAGGTGTAAGAAATTATAAAAGTATTAATTTTGGGAACTGATAAATGTCCATATTAAAATGAAATCTTCACAATTTATGTTCCTCTGCTGTGGCTCCAGCTGATCCCTCCATTTGGGGTCCCTGACTTCCTGTAACACCCCTGTCTAAGGTCTGAACACAGATAAAAAAACAAGCTTGAGACAGATACTGTTGTTACCTTAGAGTTGGGTTTTCATGAGAAGTTGTGCATGAATGTATTTGATCAAAACCAGCTATACTATTAAATAATAACAGAAGACCCTCTTCTAACTAGTTACATAATCTTCCCTAAAGACTTTCTCCTTTGTTTTTTCAGTCCACATTCCTATAAATGCGGCAGGAATAAAACCCCAGTTTCCAGCTCTCACCTTTGAGGCCCCTGACAAAGACAGAAGGAAGGAGCTATCCAGGAGCTGATCCTCCTTGCAAAACTGTGCCTTGCGGAGATGCACATGTGCGTTTCAGTACAACATGCCGCGCTGTTGTAATACTGTATAAAGACTTCAAACTATCCAGAGTATTTTTATATCGTGTTGGATGAGTTAGGATTTGTAATGCTGTTGAAGTTTCTGGGAACACATAATATGTAGCCAGTTTAACAAAGAACCTGTCAGGTGCACAGGCCTTCCTGGGTTTTTTTCTTGTGTTCCCTGTGGTCTCTGACCCATTAGGCTAAAGAGAGACAAGACAAGCCCCCCACCTGTTCTCATGACAGCTCCATCAAGAATGTGGGATGTGCCGACCAAGGATTTGAGAAAATTGTACAGAAATGCTTTCATCAAATCTGATCAGTCAAGGGACTGAGCCCCTAACTGAACATTCTGAAGACTGCATGGAGGATGACGATTTGGGAATCCTGTTAATGAGAAAGCTGAATCACAGGCACCTGGGCCATAGAGTGTGAGCATTCATGCTCTCTGCTCACCTTGGTTTCCGCATACCTTTGCAATGTGAACAGGTCAGGAGTCTCTCTCATCCACCTCCTCTGTAACATCTGGGGCTCCAGGCATGGTTTAGACCCTGTTCCAACAATAAGAACCAATCTGCTGTACAATCTGAGGTCTTGCCTCTGTTATTTACAAAATGATGCTGTGGTTCTGAGATTATTTGGGACATGTTTGGCCCTCCTTTTGTGGATACATAGAGCCACAGATTCCCTTTTTCACTAAACAAATCCTATGGATTCTGATTTCTGGGTCTTAGGATTTTAAAAGTGAAGGGATATTTTTCTTATATTTGTGAGTTCAGTTACGATGGTGCCCATGGTCATAAGTGGAAAACATGAACAGTTCCCATTCAATCTTGGCACTTCGAGTTGTCTTGGGGAAGAGCTTACATTTTAATTTAAAAGAAAGGTCAATTATACCCATGCTTAACAGGATCAGCAGGAGCTTTATAAATGACTTTACAGAGACGAATAAGGGATTTGATCTTTCTTTTTTGTTATCGAGGCTTTTGAAATGTGGAACTTGTGTGTTCTGCTTGTATGTTATATTCAATATCTTTTCAGATGCAATCTGTATTTTATGCTGAGTTTTTAAAATGAAATACTTTATGTGAACAGGCAAAATTGGTACCAAAGGGAAACATTAACCATGAGGAAGAACATTTCTGTAAGGAGAACAGGTGACAGTATACACATGTGCGCTAATTGTAAAATGAGCATCTTAATCCTTAAAACACATCAGAATTGAATACGAGTAACCTATTTGTTGATGAAATAAACACAGCTCTTTGAGGATTTGAGACTATATTCACCCTTTATTCACAGTCACTTGCAGTTCTGCTTTTCTCTGCATTTCTGTGCTGTAAGATGACTGTTGCATTATTGAATTGTATTTTGAGTGGATATTTTTGTTTGGTGACAATTAAAATTTTAAATTGTAAAGAATGTACATTTTCCCTTTCTCTTCCTTCTAAACATGTGTCACTGCCACAGGTCATCCTCCTGTGACCGTGTGTACTGCAGACTGTTTCAAAACCGGGCAGGCAATTAGCAATGGGAAACAAGTGGTCTACCCTCAATATTTGCTTGTTGTTCATTTATGTGCTCTTGGTACCAGTCCTAGACTCACATATGCCCCAGAATAACATTCAGACTCTCAGCTGGTCTTGTGTTACACGTCCATGGCCCGATTCACTCCATGGTATATACATCTCTCTGCTCTGTACTCCGGGGCTCAAGTCAAGCAGCCAGTGACAGATTTCATTCCCAATAACAGAACTAGTTCACATGACTCCCCATATATGTTGCAGCTTTGAAAACATTCACCTCAGTGTTAGAAATAGACAGTAAAAATGTGTGTCAAGCTCTCTTTAGCTGATGAGGTAAATGCATGGACAACTTCCTAGGGCTTCTCAGCTGTCCCCTCCGTGACCTTGCAGCCTGCTCAGGGCTTTGTGCAGCTGTTCCTTATCAAAAGCAGCTAAACCCCCTCAGTCTGCCCATTTAAAATTTGTGGGATGAACAAAGAGCGTGAAAATGTTGAAGACCAAAACCAAAATTTACTCAAATCAAAATAAGTACAGAGTTTATTTTTAACAAATGGCATAGCTATGTCACCTTATTGGAGAACCCAGCAGTCAGACAGGAAAAGCTTATACACAATAATACCAAAAATGCTGAGGTTTGGCATAGTTGGTAGCTGGGGACAGTGTCTTCGTTTGATTACTGTCCGTTATTTCCAGCGTGCTAAATCCCTACCCCCATTCTAGCCTCTAGGTGAGTCAATGCTTCACTCTGTCTCTTGTTCAATTAATTATTTCTCATCACTCCCTCAATCCAAGTGACAAAGCTTGAAACACGAACATAGACACCAGGCTTATTGGGGCATGCACAGCCAGGACCCCAAGAAGTTATTCCTCGTAAAATGTATTTGTCCTTGTCGAAGCAAACCACAGGCCCTCCATTGTCACCCTAAACAGAGGTAGGGAAAAATTCAGGTGAGGGTTAGCTTGCCAGCCTTTTATTATGGCATTCGTCTATTATCCACATGTATATTTTCCTGGTAATTGAAATCGGAAAGGAACTTATGAGCATATTACTCGAGCATCTGCACTGCTTGAGTACTTAGCAAAGTCTATTCAGTGAAACCACACCACTTAGTTTCTCCTGGGGGTAAAAAACCCCTTGTGAATCCTGCACACATCCCTTCCTATGTTGGTGTTTCCTTTAGACTGGCCTAGCCTGGGCATCACTGTAAAGTGTGTGCAGTTGGTCTCTGTCCTGTACCCTCTACCTCCTTCCCTACCAGAAAAGTCACCACTTTAGTCCCTGGCCACCAGCACACCCCAGGAGGGTGAGTGACCTGAGGTAGTTATGGCACTTAAAACTCCCTTGCTACAGATCTCAAACCCAAGCCCCAAGACATCTCCTTAGATTATCTGAATACGCATTCAGGGACAGATCTAGGGAGTTTGTGAACAACACTTAAACTGGGGTCTAACATTGACAAATCCTTCTAGAATTTGTCACTTTGGGACTGAAGTCTAAGGGGCTGAGACCGAGACGGGAGAGCACAAGACTAACTTTGGTCTCTTGATCTTTTCTTACCTGGCATCTGTCAGTGCCTCCGGCCAAATGCCCAGCACAGAGCTCAGTGGATTTGACTCTTCCATTCAGAAACTCGTAGTGATTGCACACTGTATTCTCAATCACATGAAGCTGGGCTTCCTTGAGAAGGCCAGCCCCAAAGGTACCTGTGTTTAAAAAGATGAAAGAAATGGTTACTGCACCCAAAACAAGTTTAGGAGGAAACCAGAAGAACAGAGCAGCGGCGCTGGACCTCCTGCCTGTCCGTGAGGCTGCAGAACACAAGGCAGCTCCCAGTGCCGCTCTGACCCTGGAGAGTGTAAACATCATATGTGATTCTGTGTTCCTGAGACCTGGATTTAACTAGCTGGGCTTTGTCATAGTGCTTTCGGGTTGGTGGTTGTTTGTGTACTTTTTGCTTTTGTGTTGAAAGTCCAAAAATGATTTTTACAATGTAAAGAGTATCTGAGAAATGCAATTGCTATTCTTTTTATATACTTTTTTCAGATTTTTTATAGGCTTCTTTACTACTGACATCATAATGCACAATTTTATGTACTGATTTTTTCAATCACTGTTATATCACGAGTTTTAAAAATAATGCTACAATCTTCATAACTAATATTTTAATGGGGAGTGACTGCTGAACGGGCATGAGGTTTCGTTTTGAGATGAGGAAAACGTTCTGAAAATATGGCAATGGCTGCACACCATTGTGAATGTACCGAATGCCACTCAGTGGTACCCGCCAAAATAGTTAAAATAGTAACTCTTACGTTGTGTATATTTTATCGCAATAAAAAAGAATAGCCATCATTTACTAAGAATTAACCTTTCCAGGCACGAGCTCTTAATGTGGTGTATGTCACTTCATCCTCACAACCGTCCTATGAAACAGGCACTTTCATCATTCCTGTTCTACAGTTGAGGAAACTGAGGCGTAAGGAGGTTGTGTAGTTCAGCCTGAGCCTGGGTCTGTGGAGTCACTGCCCTAATGCTTCCTCCCCAAGCACATTGGTCCCACTCTTGCTTCCAACCTTCCACATATTTGTTCATAAAGTTCATTCTCATTTCTTATTATTTTAAGTCTAAGCTCCCATAATTACATAGACATACTTCTGTCTCGCAGTAACTCTCCCAAATTATTTTCTAAAAGGGTGTGATGGTATAAAATGTTACTGGAAACAATTACTTCGCCTCACCCTTGTGAGTATTCAATTTTTAAAATATTAGCTAACATAGTAGAGAGAAATTGTCCTGATTCATTTTCTGATTTACACTTCCTTGACAATTAGGGAGAAGAAATACAACTAGGGGCAATTCTCCCAGTTGTAGTTTTTCTTTTGTGAAAAACTGCTTTATTTCCTTTGCCAAATTGCAGAACATCTGCTAAATTGCCAGAGGGAATGCTGTTTTTCCAGATGGACACGCCCAGGGATGTCTCAGTGCTCTCACAAATAATCTAGTTTTCCAATTTTGCAAGCCCAGCTTTCATTAGAATTTTGCAAAATCTTTTGCTTTGCGAGCGTGACACAGGCAAGAGCTGAGGCACTTTCTCTTTCCCCCCTCAGAGTCTTGGACTGCATTTAGATCAATGTCTCAGGTTCAGAAAACTGACACTGAATCTGGAGTTTACATGAGCAGCATGGAAGAGGCTCTTCCCAGCCCTAGCTGGGAAGGAGCTGCATGGAGGAAGCTCCTCCTGACTACCAAGCACCAGGCAGGGGGTCCATGACCTGGACTGTGTAGATGTGTGAGGGAGCACCCTTTTCAAAATATTTTGTTGAAAATTAAGTTAGATATCACTGCTTTTGGATCTGCTCTCAGAGCAAGGCAAACATCCTGATAAGGGGGTAAACCCACCACTAGTTGCCAGGAAATTGATGCAGTCTGTGAGTATGAGCTGCCATCCAGTGGCCAACATAGAGACGGCACCTCTGAGGGCAGGGTAGACCACAGGTGACCTGAGGATTGAAGCCCTCCCTGACTGGGCCCTGGGGAGAGGGCCGCAGGACCAGCTCAGTCATTGCAGATGGGGCTGACATGGAAGAGCCCCTTGGCCTCAACCCCTACTCTGCATTTGGAATATCCAACTGAAGGGAGTTCTGGAAACATGAAGGGGAGAAGGGGAGAATTTCGACCTCCCTCTGAGAAGCTGAGAACACCCATTAATCTGATGTCATCAACATATAGAAAATGGATAAACAGACCTGAGTTATGTTGTGTGACTCCTCCTGGTCTAGTTAGCGTTCTGAGAATCATTTTCTCAGTGGACATGTGGGTGAGACCAGAGGAGACAGGGAGCCAGTGCAGGATGGTGGTTAGAAATGTGTGGATGGGGGTGGAGGGAGGAAACAGCGAGTGGGCTCTGTGGTCAATGCCCAGCTACACGCCGGTTATGTGATGTTTATTTATGATGATGGTGGTGATGGTGATGGTGGTAGTAGTGATAATGGTGATGATGGTGATGGTGATGATGGTTTTAGTAATGATGATGATGGTGATGATAATGGTGATGGTGATGGTGATGATGGTGGTGGTAATAATGGTAATGGTGATGGTGATGATGGTGGTGGTAATGATAATGGTGATGGTGGTGGAATGGTGGTGATGGTGATGGTGGTGGTAGTGGTAGTAATGATGATGTTGGTGATGATAGTGATGGTGGTGATGATGTTGAGAGTGATGATATTGGCGATGGTGGTGGTGATGGTGAAGATGGTGGTAGTGGTAGTGGTAGTGATGATGGTGGTAGTGGTAGTAATGATGATGCTCGTGTTGATGATGGTGATGAGGATGATGGTTGTGTTGGAAGGTGAGGATGAAGATGCATAATCTTCATCCTCACAATCACTTTATATGTAAGTACAGATGAGAAAGCTGAGGCTAAAAGAGATTAAATAACTGCCCAATGTCACATGGAAGGTGGGAGAGCCAGAACTTGCACTCAGATCCTTATGATTTTAGCTTCATGCTTTCATCAGCTGAAGTATTGTAGAGGATCTGTTTGCTTTCTGGCTGCCCAGCAGCCTTTCACCCTACACCCCATAATCTTGGTGAGGGATACCTTTTGCTCCCTTCTGGGTATGAATGGGGTCCTGCCTCTACTTCCAGCATGGGACAGCTGATGCAGGTCAGAGCCAATCAGTGACGGGCTCAGGGGCAGGACTATGACCCAATTTCAGTCTCTCAGAGTGGGCAGACTATTGTTCATGTAATGGGGAGAGTGGCCTTTCTTATTCTTTCTCAGCAGAGCTAGAGCCATGACAGCATCTGCAGCAATGGGGGTGTCACCTTTGTGCCCCAAATAGTGCCTACTCCATGATCAGGAGTGCCTGGGATCTGGGGCCTCATGTGAGCCTGAAGCTTTTCAGCTCACTAAGAATTTCTCTTGTTTTGCTTAATCCAATTTGAGTTGGATTTTCTGTCACTTGCAAGGAGTCATGTTAGATTCAACTCTATTCTGTATTAGTAGTAGGAGCTGCCACGATGGAGTGCTTAGAATGTGCTCGGCACTTGATGCACTTTCTTATTATTTCCCCCATAACAGCCCTGCAGCCCACATCAGCGGAGGAAACAATCAGTGAGAGCTCATGACTTTTCTAAGTCCCCACAGCTTATAGGTGGGAGTCAGAGTTCCAGTTCAGGTTTGTCACCCTGCACCTTCTCTGAACCCCAGCTTCCTCAATGGTAAAATGGAAAAAATAATACCTAACATGCAGAGGTTTCTAGTATTTAAATTTTAAAATATGCAAACACCAGGAGCAGCCTGGCACACCCATAGGTGTCCCTCAAGCCAAGTTTCCTTTTATTTGGCCTCAGTGTTCCCAGACTGCAGTGCAGAAAAAGGGAACAAGAAGTCAAGGAGGTGAGGTTTTAAATGTAATAGGAAAGGGACAGAAAAAGGAAACCCAGCTTTGAAATTAGCTAGCCAGTGGTTTTTAACCTTTTCAAAAAACCCAAAAAATTTTTTATTAAATGAAAGTGTATACAAAAGGCTGATGTGCAAAGCACCACTTGAAAATGCTGGTTTTACAGATAAGGGATTAGAGCCAAGTGATACAAAGAGGTAACGTGTCTAGTTCAGGTCTATCTGGCTAGTGGCAGAGTCAGAACGCTTTTCCAGGGCCCCAGACTCCCTATGTCCTCACCTGCACCTCTAAGAAAGTGGAACTGAGACATTAAGAGTATTAGTTTTCCTGCTGCCAAGGGAGTAAGGCTGATGGATATAATTATTGTCAGGGTATACTGCAAAGAGAAGGAATCCCTAAGGTGTAGTACAGGTGCTGATACCACATCCTGCACAAGTGTTCCCTCTCTTGCTCTCACCCATCAACCAATACCACATGCCATCCTAGACTTGGGGCCACGGGGCCTGTCTGCCTCTTCCCCAGATGTAGGTCGCCTGCCTAACACCCTCCCACACACGTTAGACATGTGGGTATTTGGGAAGAAGACTAGTTTAATTATAACTTTTGTCGTTATTGTTTTGCACCATGTTTAGAAACCCAGTCTGGCTAATTTCACATGAAAAATAATCTAACACCCTTAACTTGAGGGCTGGGTGAAAACCCCACTTACTTGGGAAGCAATATGAATGCTGAAATTATAATTAAGAGACTCAAAGACATCTACTGGCTTTTTGCTTGTTTTTGGTGTAAGGGAAACATACAATCATTTTTAAAAAGATGCTGAAAACAAAAAAAGAGAAAGACTCAAAGAAATGGCCTCTCTCCCCTTGCCCACATCCCTTGAAGACTGATTATGGAGACACAGACAGGTGCCCAGGCAAAGTCAGGAGGGTTGGACAACGTTCATGGATAGGAATTTTACAACGATCTCTAAAATGCTCATTTTGTAACATGCACTGTAGGTCAAAAACAATTTGTTACATGGGCAATGGAATTGATCTCACCTTGGGTTTCTCCCCAGCCAGTGATGTAACATTCAGTCCAGGCGGTGATCACGTAATTTGGAGACGGCAGACAGGCTGGGATTACTTTGTCAGTGATGATGGCAGGCCTATAAGGGAAGTATTAGCAGTTATATTTGACTACCCAGCTGGGAGCTGCAGTATCTACAACTAGGCATCCTTACCTTGAGGTTCCAGAGCCCTCTGAGCTGGCACTGCCTTGCTTCAATGACACAGAACAACATAGAACACAGCGTTTCACCCTCACATTTGCCTGTGGTTGCCTATGGACTATACAGACAAAAGGTTTCATTTGAAAGGCATCAGTGGCCTGCAAGAAGCTGAGGGTGGCGCTCGCCTTTGAAAGTAGGGATGACAAAGGTGTACTTCTCATGTATATTCTGTGCACAACTGGAATCCCATGCCAAGTGTGTCCTTTCATATTAATTGAAGAGGGCATTGATGACTGGGCAGAATGTTTGGCTGAGACATCATCAAGAGGGTATAAAATTGCAAATGTGTTGTGTGCCCAGAGCAAGTTGCTCCATCTGGATCCTTCACTTCCTCCTCAGTGAATGTTACTAAACCATGGTTGTAAAAATCCAGTAAAATGCTAGCCATCAAATGAAAGAGGATTGGAAATAAGCACCTTGCATGAACAAAATGGTGTGTTTTCAAAGAACATTTATATATCTTAGAGTTCCAGGAACTCTCAAACATTAGAACTCTGGTTTTTAGACCTGATTCTACTTTAGTAAGTTCAAGCGGATAAAGGACTGGATATGAGAAATGCCCTGTTCTGACTCTGACCAAGAATCATCATTGCCACCAACTTTGAAGCAGACACACTTTCTGCTTCTGGGCACCAGACATCTGTGGTGCAGAAGTCCTCAGTCTACAGGTTCCCTGGTGGAGCACTCTAGGGGTGTGGGGATGTGGGTGGAAACTCTAAACTCAAAATGTATCAGCCTATCAGAGAACTCCTCCAAAATTCAAAAGTTCCAAATTACTTGTTCAAGCCATCAGAGCACCCTACCTCTCTGAGGATCGTAAGGAGCAGAGACCTTGTATTTGCACATTTGCTGGGATGGTGGGGAGGAGACTGGGGAGCAGAAGGGAGATCAGCTACTGTTTAGGCTGAGCCAGAAAGACCCTTCTCACCTTCCTAGAGTGTCAAAGCATCCCAGAACATCACCCATCGGTTCACAGACCCAAAGACGTTACCCCAGGCTTGTGGTCAGGCCCAGAAGAGCAGCTCTGGCCCCTGCCCCATGCTTTCCCATCCAGGCCAGACCATCCTTGTCTGCACCGACACCCTGCCCTCCAGAGTCGCCAGCACAGCGAGTGCCCTATGTGCCTTGTCACCTGTCCCAAACCTGCCTCTCCTACAAATAACTGTTTCTTAACTGACAGCACCGTTAGTACCTGCTTAGCTTTAGCAAGGCAATATCTGCTCCTATGGGCTCCAAGAACAACCTAGACACTTCTATTTCTTGAACATGAGATTCGAGATTCACTTCTTGGTGTGCACCCAGGATGACCTTGTAGAAGGAAGGCCTTGAGAACCTAGAAAAGATGAGGATGTCAAGAGAAAAATACGGTCCAGCCCCTTCAGGTACCCTCTGTGCCGTGACCTTGGCACTATCTTCCTGAGACCCTTGGCCACCCAGAATCAGTGACTTATGAGTGGCAAGAAACAAAATTCACAATTTGCTGGAACCTGACAGTTAAGGAACGTTCTCAGTCTGTTTTGGCAGAGACTGTAATATAGTTTGTATATTTGTCCCCACCCAAATCTCAAGTTGAATTGTAGTCCCCAGTGATGGCTGTATGGCCTGGTGAAAGTGTTTGGATCATGGAGGTGGATCCCTCTTGAATGACTTGGGCCACATCTTCAGGGTGATCAGTGAGCTCTCACTCTTAGTTCTTGTAAGATCTGGTCATTTAAAAGTGCTTGGAACCCCCACCACATCTCTCTCTGTTTCTTGCTCCTGCTCTGGCCATGTGACATGCCTGCTCCCACTTTGTCTTCCACCATGATTGTAATCTTCCTGAGGCCCACCCAGAAGCAGAGGAGATGACAGCATCCTGCTTCCTGTAAAACCTGCAGAGCCATCAGCGAATTACACTTCTTTTCTTTGTAAATTTTCTGACCTCAGTATTGCTTTAGAGCAATGCAAGAATGGCCTAATACAGACTGACCCTTCTGGTAGTGAACAGCTCTGTCCTGCAGTTTATCCAGGTCCACAAAATCACCTGCACTGTGTCTCCCCTCTGCAGGTTCTCTCTAGAAATGCTTCCCTCCTCTCTCATCCAATTTCCCTGGAAATTCTGCCTCAGGCTTCTGTGCATGCATTCCCTGGTTCCTAGTGTTCCTTCCAGAAAAGGAAGGGAGGTGGGGAGGAAAAGAGGGGAAGACGAGAGGGAACAAAAGCGGGAGGAAGAGGAAGAGGAAAAAAGTCTTGAAGATAAGACCACCTGTCAGTTAAACATACGTCTCCAAGCAGCAAGCAGCAGTCAGCACCCACTCTGGGGATATTAAGGTGCCTCCACAGAAGTGCTTTCCAAACCTAGAAAGAAAACATGCAAAGACTTTGTTCAAATTTGATGGTTTATTTTACTCCATTGTATGGAAAGCCAAAAAGACAGATTCACTCAAATTTGATCATGTTCATATTCCCAAAGGAAAGGGCTACCAGCCCAATATCAGGACGGTGGTAACTTTGGCTGCAGGAGTGGGATTTTTCAGAAGGGCTCATCTATGCCACTTCTTCTGATGCCTGGGGGAGGTACAGACACAGCCTGTCCACAGGAGAGCAAAGCTAAGTGGCTCAGCATGAAGCTCTACAGCCGTGGCTTATACCCCACAGCCCGGGACTCCAACAGAAGCGACCTGCCCAAGATTGTCCCCCGAGGTCTCTTTCATTTTTGTGACAAGATCTATACAAGGTCTGATGAATCACTCTTCAAGGAGCCAGATGTGATCCTGAGCAGCAGTGACTCATGAGGGTCTTCTGAGCCTACCTGAGAACCTTTACTTTTGGGGGATGTTTCTTGAATCACTTGCTTTCTAGGACTGCGTAGGCAGGTGATAGCTCAGAATAATGGTGTGAGCCACTCGGAAACAGATTGTAATGGAGAGCACAGATAAAACGTGCATGATGGCAGCACGTTGATAAATCCATGAGGACATCGACCACCACACAGTTTAGGAAAGAATGAATCTGAAATATGTGGAAGGTGAAAGCTCCATAGAACAGGGAGTTTCTAACCAATAAAGTAAAGAAAAATCAAATCGACAGCAGAGTGAAATGCAATGTGATCAGGTTTGTCGATGGCATTTCATAAACCTGTGAAAGGAAGTCTCTTTAGGGGAGAACAGCGGCCTGTTTCCTAAGAGATACCCAAGAAAACTGAACTTATGAAAGGCATGTTCCACTGAAGTGATACCCAGAAGGTCCAGGTTCTGTGGGATCGGACTAATCAATCTTAATTGATGGGGATCACGACCTATAATTTGTTCACGTGTTTGTGAATAGATGAGTAGCCTCGGCATTGAATTCAATGATTCACAAAAGTGTTTAAAAAAATCTGTGCCTGTGATAGACTGTAGGTAAGTTTGCTCTTGTCCTCTCTCACTGCAAAGTGTCACATTTCTAAAAACTTCCCTTTCTTTTCATCTGACAGTGAGACAATGGATATTCATAGGAACCCTCAAAGATGAAAATTTTGGCTGTTTTCAAAGCAGAGAACCTAGGATAATATAATTTTTTTATTTTTCTGTATCTTTTCCTCCTTCAGAAAACATAGAGGCAGGAACTGATGCCTCAGCTGTGTGGGTTCTGGGTAAATGTAGAAGGGTTTGGTGGGGCCTATGTGGAAGGACAGTATAGATGGTTTCTGGGCCTGTTCTTACCTTGTTCTAAGACTGACTTGCCAGGGCCAGGAATGTGGGTGGGCCACACACCCACCTACAATGCTTCCAGGACATTTCTTTGGCTCCACTTGAGGCTTCCCACAATCAAATGAAGAGGATGCTGTGGCACAAGGTGGGAAAGAATTCACCTTTGAGTCCAAGTTAGCAATTGTGTCGTTTAATTCAGGACGAATTCCAAGCACTAGTTTTTCACATCTCAAAGGTGAAATTAAATAGTAAAATCATAAACACTTTTTAGATTTTTCTTTCCAAGTTTAAAAAGTGGTAGTAAACAACACAGGACACTCTCCTTTCAAGGAAATATAAGCACCTTCTAACTATTTTGTTGGAGAAGTGATTAAAGAAATTGGTATAGTTCGGCATTAGAATGAGATATTTTCTGAGAAGACCTTGATTGGTACAAATAGCTATTTCTCATTGTTATTCTGACTCGATGTAATATGTTTAGAACATGATGTCATTCTTTCCATCATCTCCGTCATCATCACCATCATCATCTAAACCATGTAAAGTTTACTGAAAGGCATGAATGATTCTTTTGCATGTGAGTCTCTGTGTGCACATGTGTGCATGTGTGTACATGATTTTACGTAGCAAGGGTAACTGTCCTATGTTGAAATGTTGCCTTCTCTCAGCCAGCTTCAGGACAGCTCCTCTGGGGAGCCTCCCATGACTAACCGACTACTGTGGGGGTGATTTACACACATGGGCCTCTATTCTTTTCCTCCTCCCTGCCTTCTCTCTGCAGCAAGCCCGCAAGGTCTCTGGAGGTAGGGACAGTGTCCTATCTTTGGTACCACCCACCAATGTCTACAACAGTGCAGGGGCTACAAAGGGTGTTCAAAAATGTTTCTCTGTTGTCTCTAGCCCTTCAAGGTATTCAAAATTATAAACGTTAATATAATTAATAATTATTCATATAATTATTAATAACATCTGCAAGAGGAAATTCCTCCCCAACCAACCAGAGATTCTACACTCCAGTGAATCTGGAACCTGAGTTTTCCCAATAACTTTTCATTTGCCATGGGTTGTTCTGAGAATCTATCTACGGAAGTCTTTCGTAAAAAAGAAGCATGGCATGGAATGCAATCATCTTCTCTAGTGCTGAGCTCAATTTCTGCTAGTATGCCTTACACACAGTAGATATGTATCACTGTACTAAAAGAGTAACTACAGAAATGATGATACCCTATTCCTACTATTCAAAATAAAACTGAATGTTTCTATTTATTTTTACTTATTTATTATTTGTGCTGAATGTGTTGGTGGAAATGAAATAGTTATTAAACTCTTTCTCCAACCAGAGGCTCTAACTTTCTCAAGCACGAGTCAAACCTGAATATCCCACCAACCACATCCTTCTGCAGGAAACCGTCCTCAGGATTTCCCAGTGTCTGATGGGAACCCTTCTCACCAGGCTTGGGGTTAACCTCACTTGTCTTACATCAAGGCAAGGTGGGGAATCTCACAGTCCATTGGGAAAAATCTTGTTCCATTCTTGCTTCTTTCTCCAGTCTCTAAGAACCTGATTCTCATACATCCTCAATGTGGGTGAGGACACCAGAATTGCACCTGGGAAGCTACTGCACTTCCCTTCCATGGGAGTCAAAGGTGCATGAGTCCCAGGCACTACCATGGATGTCTGAGGCAGGTAAGTCAGACTGGGCTTAAATTCAAGGCAGCCTGTCAACGATAGAGAGCCTGGGAAGTGAGAGTCAGCGGCGTATACCAGACTAGGCCAGAAGTGGAGAAATGGAACTGACCCCGTCAAGGGACTTTGAGGTAGAGGAGCCACCAAGATGCTTCTGCAGAACAGACAAAAGCACCCAATCGAGGAAAAAGTCAACTATCAACTCACACTAAATCCAGAGAACACTATGCCACATTACAATAATACTGGCCAAGTAGAATCTTTCCTATCATCCTAACCTCTCCTTCTTCCCTCTTGCTCTCCCCAGGAGTGGCCCAAATATGATGATGGGCAGTGTGGCTCTCATGATCTTCATCACTGCCCTGCGCCACCTCCCTAGGCAATCTCAGGGTGCTGGTCGTCAGTGGACTTGGAGGCCAAGCTGCTTCCCCAGCTCAAGATCCCTTCACATGTCAGACCAACCACAAGCAACCAAATTACACAAAGGAAAAGTCCAGGGTGTTCTGTAACTTGGATAGACAAGCTGATTGGTCCGCAGAAAGAAAATAGGGGACAAGTACAAGTGGCTTTTTCCCCCCATGGATTTGTTATCCCAGTCATTTAAGATCTAATGTCAACTCTGCTTCCCCTGATCCAAGACTCAAAGTCCCAATAAGAGTCTCAGAGCAATGAGGAGGAACCCCAAACATACAGTCTGTAGAAAACAAAACAAAACAAAACAAACAAACAGATGATTACAGACAGCCAGGCAGCTACATAGACCCAGGACAATACGGAATCAATGCAGTCATGACAGGTTTCTTTAGTTTGACAGATTGAGGGGCCACATTCCTCAGGAGCCACAATGCTGAAGACTGCAACAAACACTGTCTATTTTAAGAAATTACTGGAAATGCTTATTGGCTTGGAAAGAATCACACACTTGACAGCATGTTAAAATAGGAATTTGACTGGGACACTGACATAACCCATTTTAGAACAAGGTGAGTGGTTAAGTTGAGCACCCTGGAGGTTTTGCGCCAGTCTTAAAGTCATTAGTCCCACAAGCGGTGCCAAAAGTCACAGCCCTGGCTTTCCCAGGGACGGCACTGAGGCTTCCTTGGGCATGGCAGACCCTCAACTAACACTCGAGCTCCCGTGTAGCTCTAAAGGCTTCTGCATCAGTGTGGTTTTTCATGTCTTTTCATCCCATTGTCCAAGCACATAGATGTCTGGACACAGACTTCTTACCTTGTTCAGAAGGAGCCTCTAGGCTTGGAACCGGGATAACAGTCGGAGGTGTGACCACAGTCCCTTCTGTGTCTGAGCATCGCGTCAGGTTGCAGTACTCCCGCCTGACGCTGGGGTCCATGGTAAAACACCAAGGGCCTGTGTCAGCATCTGGATTCCTGCAGTAGTTCATTGTCAAGTCACTGGAAATTCCAAAGTAATACAAGTTATAGGAGGCAGAAGAATATTCAGGGACACCCAGCAGCCTCTACATTTTGTTCTAACAAAGTCTTAACAAGTGACTTTGAAATATTTCCATGAAAGGTAACATACAATTGCCACAACAGAAATGTTCCTAATCTTCCCATTTGTGCATGCCTTTCAAAGATAGATGATAATTTTTATTTTAAAATGTCTAAAGTAGTATATGCTTGTATTAGTCCATTCTCACATTGCTATGAGGAAATACCTGAGACAGACTGGGTAACTTACAAAGAACAGTGTTTTAATTGACTCAGTTCCACATTGCTGGGGAGGCCTCTGGAAACTTACAATCATGGCAGAAGGCAAGGGAGAAACAGGCACCTTCTTCACAGGCTGGCAGGACACAGTAAGTGCAAGTAGGGGAAATGCCAGACATGTACAAAACCATCAGATCTCAGGAGACTTGCTCACTGTCATGAGAACAGCTTGGAAGAAACTGCCCCCATGATCCAATTACCTCCACCTGGTCCTGCCCTTCACACGTGGGGATTATGAGGATTACAGAGATTACAAGTCAAGATGAGATTTTGTGTGGGGACATAGCCAAACCGTATCAACGCTCCATATAAAAACTGAGATCATACATAAATGTGCAAAAGAAAGGAACCAGAATACCCTCCTTCTACCTTCTGCCAAGCACATACCCCTGGAGGAACAGGTACGAATTTTGATGTGTGTCTTATAGATTGTTATGCACATACAAATGCATCTATATCTGTCTAGCTCTCTTTATCTCTTTCTACAGGACTGTATAGTAACATGTGATTTGGAACTAACATATATTTCTCCAAGGAGGAAATGCCATCCAACATGATATCATTCCCAGGCCAGCCTCCCTTGCTCTCTGTACTCATCGTGTAGCTAAAAGGCTCTGCATTTACAATGAAAAACAACCACGAAAATAGTATTACTGTCAATACATTTTTAGTTGGGTCAAGTGAGTTTGAGTCTACAAAACTTATAAAAGCTGTCCTGGAAAGCTAGCTCCCAGGTATGATACTCTTTGTCTAGGATTGGTTCCTGGGCAGGATCTCCTCTCCTGCTCTCAGCCCATCCTCCACTGGCCACAGCAACTCCAGGACTGAGAGAAGGGGGATGAGATGAAGGAACAGTGGGACCCAAAGCATAAAGTGAGATGGCTGGGTAGACCATGGGATCTGAAAAGGTCCATCGGCTATGGAGGGGTCAGAAAACAATTGAGTAAGAGGCACAGGCTGGGCGCAGTGGCTCAGGCCTGTAATCCCAGCACTTTGGGAGGCCAAGGTGGGTGGATCATGAAGTCAAGAGAGCAAGACCATCTTGGCCAACATGGTGAAACCCTGTCTCTACTAAAAATACAAAAATTAGCTGGGCACAGTGGCACACACCTGCAGTCCCAGCTACTCATGAAGCTGAGGCAGGAGAATCACTTGAACTTGGGAGTCGGAGGTTGCAGTGAGCCGAGATTGCACCATTGCACTGCAGGCTGGCGACAGAATGAGACTCCGTCTCAAAAAAAAAAAAAAAAAAAAAAAAAAAACAACACAGCTAGTGAGGACCCCGGTGTGGGGGCATCTTGGAAAATGTGCTTCCCTTCATTCCTCCCAGGAATGTTGCTCCAACCTCTCAGAATCCTCACATTCATGATATGTGGCTATCTGAGAAAACTTGAAATGTATTATGTACCATGGGAATGCAACACTATCTCTGTAGAGACTCTACACATGGTAACCCAGTCTCAAGCCCAGATTCCCCATTCCAGCAAGCTGATTCTCCAAGCAACTGGATGTGTTAGCAAATGCGGTATTCTAGGGAGATTTTTGACCTATTTTCAACTGAGATACACTTTCATGTATAGTCAAATGCACAGATCTTAGATGTAGTTTGATGAATTTTGATGAACATGTACACTTGTGTAACTCACATTTCAATCACGATACAGGACATTTACATCACTCCAGAAACAACTTTGTTTTACTGCTCAGTCTCTGCTACTCTCTTCCCATGGCCAGAGGCAAATGATACTGGTTTCTTTCACCAGAAATTAGTTTGACCTTTCTGGAACCTTACATCAATAGACTCATACATAATGTTCACTTTTGTTATCTGGTATCTTTCCTTAACTTAATATTTTTCAGCTTCATCTATGCTATTTGAGAGTATCAATAATGTGCTCCCTTTTGTTGCTGAATAGTATTCCATTGTGTGACTAGATCACAAATTATTTATTCATTTTCTTATTGATTGACATTGAAGTTGTCTACAGTTTGGGGTTATAAAAATAAAGCTGCTATGAATATTCTTGTAGATGTCTTTGTGGACTTATGTTTCCATTTCCACGGGGTAAATATTCAGGAATAGGATTGCAGGTTTGTAGGGTAAATGTGCATTTATTGAACTTTTGGAGAAAGCATCAGACTGATTTCCAAAGTGGTTGTTTCATTTTGCACTTCCACCAGTATATGAGAGAGAGTTGCACATCCTCACACCACATCACTGACACCACTGTTTGTGGTGTTTTCTTAATGATATCCATGTCCACTGGGTGTTTGGTGACATATTGTGATGATTATAATTGTTTATTTCTCACGGCTGAGATATTGGACTTTTTTTTCAGCTGCTTATCGGCTATGTGTACATCAATCTGTCCCCAAGAAATGCCTATTCAATCTGTTGCCCATAAGTTGTTTGTCGCCTGTTTAGTGAGTGAGAGAAATGTTCCTATTTTCTGGACACAAGCCGCTTGTCAGATATATGGACAGAGAGCATTTTTCTTCTCATATGTTACTTGCCTAATTATTTTCATAACAATGACTTTTGGTGAGCATGAGTTGTCATGAAAGCCCACATCATAATTTGTTTTCTTTTATAGTGAGAGTTTACCGACTCCTGCCTCAAAAAAGTTTGCCTTCTACAAGGTTGTGAAGATTTTATATTTTCTCATGGAACTTTCATATTTCAGGTTTAGTTTCAGCTCTGACACTTAGGTGGAAGAGATATCTCAAAATAAGTTGAGATGAAAGGCAAAAGTCAAGTTCTGCTTTTGTTTTGTGTCATGGATATCCAAATGGTTCCGAATGATTTTGTAAAATATTTTTGTCTCCATTGAATTGCTTTGCCATCTATATGGAAAATCAATTTACCATATATGTATGTGGGTCTGGTGCTGGACCATCTCTTTTTAGGTTTGCATACTCTTTTGGACAGTAATACATACCCTGTTTTGTTTTTGTTTTTGTTTGAGACAGAGTCTCATTCTATCATCCAGGCTGGAATGCAGGGGCATGATCAAGGCTCACTCATGCCTAGATCTCCTGGGTCAAGCCATCCTCTACCCTCAGCATCCTGAGTAGCTGAAATTACAGGTGCAAGTCATCACATCCATCTAATTGTTTATTTTTTGTGGAGAGAGGGTCTCTCTCTGTTCCTGAGGCTGGTCTTGAACATCTGGGCTCAAGCCATCCTCCCGCCTCAGCCTCCCAAAATGTTGGGGTTACAGGCATGAGTCAAGGGGCTTGGCCAATACCATATGTCTTAATTCTTGTATTTTTATATGTCTTTATATTAAGGTATGTGAGTCCTCCATTTTTTTTTTCCCAAAAAAGGACTGCTGCAATAGTGCTTGGGTGTGGGTTTCATCCAAAGATCAATTTCATGAGAAGTGATATGGAGTTTTTTAATCTATACGCATGGTGTCTCTTTATTTAGATCTTTTAATTCTTTCCTCAACAATGTTTTCTAGTGCAAGGTCTATAGTCCTTGGGCATAGTGTGTAAAATGTATCACTAAATATTTTTTGATTTTGATACTATTATCAGTGATATTGCTTTAAGACTTTTTATTTTCCAAATGATCATAGAAAGTATACAGAAAAACCGTTTTTGTACATTGAGCATGTATATACTTTTGTTTCTTCGATTTCACCACATTCACTTGTTAGTCTTTAGAGTGCCTGCATCCATTCATCACCACTCCAGCTTATTTATGATTCAGGTTTTCATGGTATATATCCTTTTTCATATTTTGGTGTTTAAAGTAGATCTTTACACTTAAAGAGTATTTATTCTAAAAAGAACACACTTAGACTGTGGTTTTTATTCAACTTACAGTCTCTGCCTTTTATTTGTAATGCTTAGTCCTTTTACATTTAATATGTCTAAAATGTGGTTCAGTTTATGTCTACCATAATGCTATGTATTTTCTGTTCACATCATATCTTTTATATTCTTCATTCCTCTTTTCCTTCCTTCTTTTGGATAAAAGGACTATTCCTCTTATTATCTATTCCTCTCAGTTTAAATTTTTGTGGTTGCCCTAGGATTTATAATATCATACCTTAAACTATCACATTCAACCATGTATTAATATTATATAACTTCATGGATAATGCAAAAAACTCATTAACAGTATGCTTCAATTTCTCCTCTGCATTATTTTTGCTACTGTCTTTTATGAATTTTACTACTACATATATTGAAACAACAATATACCCCTATTATTTTAATTAACATCACAAATTGTCCTTTAAATAAATTTAAAAATTAGATAAATAAAAGTATTTCATATTGACATTGACATTTGCCATTTCCAGGGCTCTTCGTGACTTAGTATGGATTAAAGTTTACATCTGGTATTATTTTTCTTCTACCTAAATAGCTTTCCTTAACATCTTTTAATACAGAAGCCTGCTGTGGAAACATTCTTTTGTTTTTTTGCTTGTTTCCTCTGGAGGTGGCAGAATATATATTTATGTCACATTTATTTTAAAGGGTTTTTTTTTGTTTGTTTGTTTGTTTGTTTTTGGCTGGACATGTTGTCCTAGGTTGATCTGCTTTTATTTCTTTTTATCACTTTAAAGATGTTATCCCATTGTTTCTGAGGAGAAGGCATCGGCCATTTGCATTACTGTTCCTCTATGTAAATGATCTTGTTTTCCTCTGGTTTATAAGATTATCCTTGTTACCTTTGATGTTGGACGATTTTTCTGTGATGTACCCAAGTAAATCATAGAGTTTTGCTTTTAAAAATACTATTTCTGATTCATTGAGCTTCTTGACTGTGAGTTTATCATTTTCTTCATATGTGTAAAGTCTTCAGCCATCGTTGCTTTGAGTATTTTTTTCTGTCCCAATATCTCTTTCCTGTCCTTCTGTGACTTGCTTTACCCATATGTTAAATCTTTTGATATTTTCACTGATATCTTTGAGGTTCTGTTTATTTTTTTCAGCTTCTCTCTCTCTCTCTCTCTCTCTCTCTGTGTCTGTGTGTGTGTGTGTGTATGTGTGTGTGTCTTACAGATTGTATGGCTTTCATTGAGTTATCTTCTAGTTCACTTTTTCTTCTGTGATGTATGAACTGATAGTAAGGCCATCCAATGCGTATTTTATTAAGGTTACACTTTTTTGTAGTTCTTTAATTTCCATTTGGTTGTTTTATGTGTTTGCTTTTTCTTGATATTCTGCATTTGTATCTCTCATGTTCATGTTTTCTTCAAATCTTTGAACAAAATTATCATATATACACAGTTTTAATTTCTTTGTCAATTCCATCGTTTCTACTATTTCTTGGTCTATTCATATTGACTAGTTTTTCTCCTAGTTATGGATGACACTAATTGCTTTTTTCTGCCTCACAAATTTTTAAATATATGCCACTCATTGTGAATGCCACATTACAGAGCACCGTATCAAGTTATTTACCTCCAGTGATGGTTGAGATTTCTTCTGTCAGGCAGTTAATTTACTTGGAGATCATTTGGGTCCTTTTAGACTTGGTTTTTAAGCTTTACTAGGGTGTTTCTGGAGTAGCCTTTATTCTAAGAAGGCATAAATCCTACTCCTAAAGTATGACTTTTCTGGGGTCTCTACTGAATGCCCGAGATGTTCAATGAGATATCTCTCCTTGAGCTGATCAGAACCCCAACACCCCGCAGTGCTACATGAGCTCTGGCATCTCCATTGAGCTCACTGTTTCCCTGAATTTGTCCTTTCCCCCATAGTGGTTCTCTGTCCTACTTTGTAGAATTTCTCCCTGTGCACATGCAGTTTATATTAGACTTGAGGAGACTTCCATGCATATTCCTTCAGCTCCTTTTCACCACAAATTCTTTCTCATTATTACCTAGCCTAGAAAATCTACATTTTCTTAGCTATTCCAAACTCTAGTCTCTTTCCTCAGTTCAGCAAAACTGCTATGGTTGGCTTTGGCTCCAACTCCTTGCCCTTCAGTTCAGGAAGGTTCTCCAGGAAGAAAGTTAGAATAGTTATGGAGCTGTGCTCATTCATTTCCTTTTCTAAATTATCTCAGTCCTATACCATCTCTTGTCCACCATGTGGAAAGTTTTTTTTATATATCTTTTATAGTCATTTATGGCAGAAAGTCAGTTTTTCTCAGACCTGGTTTTTTGTACATGTACCTGCCCATTTTAATCTCCATATCTGTTTATTTCCTGACTCTCATCTACATTCTTGCTTTTGCTCTTCCTGTCCTGGCAACCCATATCCCTTCAGAAAACTGGAGCTTAGAACCCAGTGTGTTCACACAGGTTTATATATGTTATATTATATTAATATGTGTGTGTCTGTGTCCTGCAAATTGTATGGCTATACAGCCTGCAGCTGTGCAGGCTATAGGGTATTTGGTCATCAGTCAGGGACAGACATGAAAACTTTGCACATTTCCCTAGACCATATATATATATGAATACTAGTCTGTATGAACATATACATGAATACTAACCTATATGAATATATATATATAAATACTAGTCAAATGAACACACCTGGTTCTATATATATTCATATACATATGAATTATTTACTTGTGACCCATGACAAAAATGGTGAACACAACCTTCATTTCAGGGAAGGGAAGTTAGAATGATAGAATTGCATGCGTGAAAGACTGCACTGATCTTTTATGAACACTGTAGAATGGCACTGTATTTGATCATTTGATCTCCTGAGCTTTACGTTAGCAAAACCTCATCAACTCCATATAGCCTTCTGCTTCCATCAGACTATTAGAAAAGATAGCAAGCCTAAAATATCTCTTCTCTCAGACTCTTTGATCAAAAGCAAGGTTGTTTGGACATTTTGCCACACCTTCTGGGTCTAAGGGAAATTTGGTCCTAACAAGTTAGCTTGAAGCATGGCTCTTCTAAGAGAAACTTAAGTTGGCTGTTGCTCCTTTTATAATTGACATCAAAGACATACTCATTTGGGTGGTTTTCCGGGGTCCTCTTATGCTGGTGTGGTGTCATGGATGACCAAGATTGACATGTCCTTCCTGTGACAGTGGTGGAGAATGTGCCTCGATAACTCTGTCCATTACCATGGTAGCACTGCTGGACCACAGGGGTTTGCTCAGTTGGTGCTGAAAATAGACAGAATCAAGCTGAGTAATTAGTAGTATGCAGAAACATGTGAAGCAATTTATGACACAAACAGGACGGTAGTTTCAGAATTATGACTGTTCTCTTTAGTATACTCGCAAGCAGAAGGACATGCTGAAGCAAAAACAATAGATTAATAGCATTCTAACATTTTAGTAAGTTCTTAGAAATGTTATATTCAAAACCTGGTAGGAAAAGGACATATCAGTGTGCTTACAATTGAAACTAAGACTCATATGCAAGCTCTTTTGTATGACTCTCTACTGGTTGTTCACGAGAACGAGGCAGCAAACCAGATGGTGATGGATTAGACCGTGCAGGCTGTAGGGTGATTGACTGTCAGTGGGGGACAGACATGAAAACCTGGCACATTTCCCTAGACCATTGCTCCTGAAAAGTCAAAGCCTTAAGCTTCTGGTGGATGGGGCAGGTCATGGTCCTGCATCCAGTACTTGCCAGCAAAGACCTATTGCTTCTTAGAGAAGGACGGAGGCTGAAATCTTATTCCCTTACAGTAGAGACAGGGAATCCTCTTGTCCTAGCATGCTGCATTGCAACAAAGCAGAAGTATACTACCCTTCCTCTCAACACACAACAAAGATTCATGTTCCAAGAGAAGGTGCAAGAACACCAAGAAATCACTGCCTTCCAAGCACAGGTGGGCAGAGCCTACCTAAGACGAGGTAAGCCAGAGAAATGGTGCATTCTGTGGTACGCACTGCCCAATAGCCCCAGGATTAGATGGAATAAATATCATCATGTTAGGTTTCTCCAGGATGACAATCTCAGCGGCCACATGCCTCAGCAACTGCAATGCTGAAGATCGCAATGAACACTGCCCACTTTAAGAAATGCCTGGAAACACTCACTAGTGTGAAATTTGGCACAAATTTGGCCTGATGTTAGAATTGGAATTTTGTCTGGAACACTGAGATAACCCCTTTCATAACAAAGTGAGTGGTAAGTCAAGTGCCCTGGTGGGTTTGCACTGTTCCTGAAGACACCACCCACACATGTTGCACCAGAAATTTCTCCATCAGAGATGATGCTGAGGCTTCTTTCCACGTGCCATCCCCTCAAGTTTCTGTGTAGCATGGAAGGCTTCTGCATCAGTCAGATTTTCCATCTCTTTTCATCCCAATGTTCAAATGTGTAGATGTCTGGCCACAGACTTCTTACCTGCTTCAGAATGAGCTTCCATGCTTGGAACCGGAACAACAGTGGGAGTCTCTAGGACACCTGATTCTGTTTCTGAGCATTGTGTCAGGTTGCAGTACTCCCACCTCACACATGGATCAGTCGTGTAACACCAGGGTTGTTTCCCAGAATCTGGATTCCTGCAGTAGTTCCTGGTCAGGCCACTGCAAATTCCAAAACGACACAGGTCACAAGAGGCAGGAAAAAATTCAGGGGCACCCAGCACTGTCTAAACTTTGTTATAACAAAGTGTTAAAAAGTGACATTGTAATATTCCCATTTTAGGTACAATAATAATAATATTCTCAAAAGCAAAAATGGTCCTCAAGTTCTAAAGAACCATGTAAATTTCCAAGATAGATTATAATTTGTATTTTAAAATATCAAAATTGGTCTATGATCCATATAAATACTGAGATCATACATAAACGTATACAAGAAGAATTCAGAATATCTTCCTCCTTCCAACTGCATGCCTTCAGAATAAATGACATAGATTTTGAAGAGTGTATTTTAGATTTTTTTTTTTTTTTTTTTTTTTTTGAGATGGAGTCTCGCTCTGTAGCTCAGGTTAGAGTACAGTGGCGCAATCTCAGCTAACTGCAAGCTCCACCTCCCGGGTTCACGCCATTATTCTGCCTCAACCTCCCAAGTAGCTGGGACTACAGGCTCCCGCCACCACGCCTGGCTAATTTTTTGTATTTTTAGTAGAGGCAGGGTTTCACCATGTTAGCCAGGATGGTCTCAGTCTCCTGACCTTGTGATCCGCCTGCCTCGGACTCCCAAAGTGCTGGGATTACAGGCGTGAGCCACTGCACCTGGCCTTAGATTTTTTTAATGCACATAAAAATGTATTGATATCTGTCTCGTTCTTTGTACCTCTCTCTAGGACTCTGCAGTAACATGTAAATTGGAACTAATATATATTACTTCATGGAAGAAATGACATCCAACATGATACCATTCCCAGGCCAGCCCCTTTATGTACTCACAGTGTAGCTAAAAGGCGCTGCTTTTACAGTGAAAAGCAATTATGAAAATAGTATTACTGTAAATAACAAATCAGGTAGATCAAGTGCGTTTGGGTTTACAAGACTTATGAAACCTGCCCTAAAAGACTAGCTCCCAGAGAGGATGCCATTTCTCTAGCATGGGTTCCTGGGCAGGACCTCCTCTCCTGCTCTCAGTTCATCCTCTGCTGGCCGCAGCCGCTCCAGAACTGAGGGAATGGAGGATGAGGAGAAAGAACAGTGGGACCCAAGGCATAAAGGTCGTCGGCTGGGTAGACTATGGGATCTGAAGAGGTCGAGTGGCTACAGAGGAGTCAGAAAAGAATGGAGTAAGAGGCACAGAAGGCAAGGACCCCGGGGTGGAGGGATCTTAGAGAATGTACTCCCACTCATGCCTCCTAGGAACGTTGACCCAACTTGTCAGAATCCTCAGATTAATAACCTGCAGCTCTCCGAGAAAACTTGAAACGTCTTATGCACCATGGGAAAGTTTAGAGACTCTATGCATGTGACTTAGTCTCAAGCCTAGACTCCCATTTGAGGAAGCTGGTTCTCCAAGCAACTCTATGTGCTAAAAGGCTGAAGGTTTAAAAGAAATTTCTGCTCTTTTTACAGTTGAGGTATGCTTTCCCATAGAGTGAGATGCACACATCTGTAATGTTGTTTGTTTGATGAGTTTGGATCAACACCTATACCTGTGGAACCCAAACTCCCATCACCACACAGAACATTTCTGTGACCCCAGAAACTCTCTCGAGTCCCTACCCAATTAATCTCTGCTACCCCCTTGCCACTGCCAGAGGCAAATACATTGGTTTCTTTCACCAGAAATTAGTTTTTCCTCTTTTGGAGCCTCATGTAAATGAACTCATACAGAATATACATGGCTTCTTTCCTGAGTATATTTTTGAGTTCCATCCATGCTATTTGAGAGAGTCAGTGCTGAATAGTATTCATGTGTACCAGTAGGTTGCAAATTATTTTTTCATTTTGTTATTGATGAACATTGAAGTTATTTTTACAGTTTGGATTATAATAAGTAAGGCTGCTATAAATATTCATATAGAACTCTTTGTGGACTTATTTTTTCATTTCCTTGGGGTAAATATTCAGGAATAGAATTGCAGGTTTGTAAGATAGATGCATATTGATGGAACTTTATAAGAAACCATCTGACTGATTTTTTAATTTGTCGTATCATTTTGATCTTCCACCAGCATATGGTAAGAGTTTTATAATCTAGCTCCACATCAGTGACACCATTTATTGTGTGTCTTCTTAATGATATCCATATCCATTGGGTGTTTGGTGATGTCTAATGATGGTTGTAATTCTTGATTTTTGATGGCTGAGATATTGAGCACTTCTTCAGGTAATTATTGGCTATGTGTCCATTCTTCCCTATGAAATGCCTACTCGGTCTGTTGCCCATTTTGATCAGGTTGCTTCTCCTCTGATTAGTGAGTGGGAGAAATGTTTCTATACTATGGATACAAGCCGTTTGTCAGATATACCGATTGAGAGGATTTTCTTCCAGTGTGTTACTTGCCTATTTACTTTCTTAACAGTGATATTGGGTGAACTTAAGATTTCATTTTATGAAATCCCAAATTATAACTGGTTTTTCTTTATAGATAGGGTTTTCTGGGTCCAGCCTCAATAATTTTGCCTTCCCCTAAGTTGTAAAGGTTAGTTCTTTTGTAGAAGTTTTTTTTTTTTGTTTTGTTTTTTTTTTTTTAAATTTCAGCTGCAGTGTTGCTCTTATATGTAGGTCTAAGAACTATTTGAAATTAATTTGAACTAGAAAGCAGAAGTCAAGGCCAGGTTTTGTTTTATTTTCTGTGTGGATAGCTACAGATAGCTAAAACAATAGTTTTGGAAATAATTTATTTCTCCATTGAATTTCTTTGCCAGGTATATTGAAAATCAATTGAACGTGTAATGTGGGTCTGCTTCTAAATCATCTTTTTTATGTTTGTATGCTTTTTTGCTAATATTATGTGTCTTTTTTCTATTTTGAGAGAGAGAGAGAAAGAGGATCTTGCTCTGTCAACCAGACTGGAGATTAGCAGCATGATCTCGGCTCACTTCAGCATCAACCTCCTGGGCTCAAGCGATCCTCCCACCTCAGCCTCCCTAATAGCTGAGACTACAGGTTCATGGCACCACACTTACTAGTCCTTTTTAAATTATTTTTTGTAGACACAGGCTCTTGCTATATTGCCCAGGCTGGTCTAGAACTCCTGGACTCAAGTGCTCCTCCTGCTTCAGACTCCCAGAGTGATGGAATTACAGGCAAGACACATGGCCTCTGGCCAATATCACATGTCTTGATTATTGTCCCTTTAGAAATCTTTAAATTGTGTTATAAAAGTTCTCCAACTTTTTTTCTTCTTTTTAAAGATTGTCTTTGTGGTTCTAACATATAAATGTTATCACTTTAAAAATACATATATATATTAGTGATGGATTTCTGATTAGATGTGGGTCGAATCTAAAGATCAATTTAACGAGAAGTGATACTGAGTCTTTTAATCTAAAAGCATGGTATATATATGTACACACACACACACATATATGTACACACACACACACACACACATATATATATATATATATTTTTTTTTTTTTTTTTTTTTGAGGCGGAGTTTTGCTCTTGTTGTCCAGGCTGCAGTTGCTCAATGGTGCGATCTCGGCTCACTATAACCTCCACCTCCTGGGTTCAGGTGATTCTTCTGCCTCAGCCTCCCCAGTAGCTGGGATTACAAGCATGTGCCACCACATCCAGCTAATTTTTGCATTTTTAGTAGAAACAGGGTTTCACCATGTTGGTCAGGCTGGTCTTGAACTCCTGACCTCAGGTGATCCATCCACCCCAGCCTCCCAAAGTGCTGAGATTACAGGCATGAGCCACCAGGCCCAGCCACATGGTATATCTTTATTTAGATCTTTTATTTGTTTTCCTCAACATTGTTTTGTAGTATGCAGGGTATCATTCTTGGGTATTTTGTATTACATTTATTGATAAATTTTTTGGTTTTAATACTAGTTTATGGTTTTAATACCAGTTCCTATTAGGTATTATTTTTCTTCTACCCACATAGCATTCTTTAACATCTTTTGTTATAGAAGCCTTATGCTGAAAGAGTCTTCTACTTTTGCAGGGTCTTTTTCTTTTGTGGGGAGATAATAGGTGCTTATATAGCATACATGTTTAAGAAATTTTTTTTTTTTTTTTTGCAAACATAGCATACTAGGTTGATTGTGGTTTTTTCTTTTTTATTATCTTATTTTTTTCCGTAAGTTATTGGGTTACAGGTAGTATTTGGTTACACGAGTAAGCTCTTTTTTGTTTTTATTTTTTGAGATGGAGTCTTGCTCTGTCGCCCAGGCTGGTGTGCAGAGGCACGATCTCGGCTCACTGTAAGATAAGTAAGTTCTTTAGTGGAGATTTGTGAGATCCTGGTGCAACCATCACCTGAGCAGTACACACTGCACCATATTTGTTGTCTTTTATCCTTCGCACCCCTTCTACTTTTCCCCTAAGTCCTCAAAGTCCATTGAATCATCTTTATGCCTTTGCATCCTCATAACTTAGCTCCCACATATTAGTGAGAACAAACGATGTTTGGTTTTCTATTCCTGAGTTAGTTCACTTAGCTCACTTAGAATAATAGTCTCCAATCTTATCCAGGTAATTGCAAATGCTGTTAATTCATTCCTTTTTATGGATGAGTAGTATTCCATCATATATATATATATATATGAGATGTAGTATTCATATATATATATATATGATGTAGTAGTATACATATATATGATGTAGTGGTATTCCACCATATATATATCATATATATGATATGAGATATATTATATATATATATATATATATATCAGAGTTTCTTTATTCACTCGTTGATTGATGGACATTTGGGTTGATTCCATGATTTTGCAATTGTGAATTATGCTGCTATATACATGCATGTGCAAGTATCTTTTTCAAGTAATGACTTATTTTTCTCTGGGTGGATACCCAGTAGTGAGATTGCTGAATCAAATGGTAGTCCTACTTTCAGTTCTTTCAGGAATCTCCACACTGTTTTTCATTGCGGCTGTACTAGTTATATTCCCAACAGCAGTGTAGAAGTGTTCCC